CGTCGAGGGGCGCCCTTTTGCCGGCGACGCGCGCGAAGGGGCTCTATTCGTCCTCCTCGTCTTTTTGCTTCTTTCGGAGGGAGGAGAAGCGACACCAACACCAACAGGGGGGCCACTTCCAGCGAGGAGGTCCACGAGGCCTCCCCGAGCTGGAGGCTGGGGATGTCTCGAGCGAGAGGGGGGGACCACACCACCAGGGAGACCCCCCTTGCCTCCTTGCATCTCCTCGCCCTGTTGGTGTTGGTGTCGCCTTTCCTTGTCCCTATTCTTATGCTGGGATGTATGCCCCGACATGCTCGCGTCGCGTGGACATACACACCACGGGCAGTTTGTGGTCACGTTCGGACTCCGGGGGCCCCTCGCTGGGCCCCGGGAGCTTTCACAAACCGACTCGGGGTGAAAAAATCGGCCCCGGGGAAGGGGTGGGGTCTTTTTGTGGATCCCGCATGGAAGAAGCATCATGGCATCGCAGTTTGGGTTCCACATCTGCTGCTGGCGACACCGCTCTTCCTGGGCCTGGGGACGGCGGTGGACATGGGCACACACATCCAGGTCCCCCTCGTTGTGGGATGCTGTCGGTCTCTGCCTCGCACTGTTGGTGATCTGACTGTGTCTTCTCTCGCGAGTCGCTGGGTGCCCTCCTCGCCCTCTCTGGCGCTCGGGGAGCCCAGCACTGGTCAGGGAGGACCTGGGGAGGGGCCCTCCCGTCGAGGGGAAGCACAGGGATGGATTAGCAGACGTGTGGAAATCTGCGACGGGCCTCGGGCCCCGTGCAGACTCGGCACGCTCCGTCGCCAGATCGGGCGGCACTGGCCTCGTGTGTTGGGGGGCAGCTTCTCCGATCCGTGGATGTGGCACAACCGCGCGCCAGACCCACGGATCCGCAATCCATGTCCGCGCGTGCCCGACAGGAGGAGGAGGAGGAGGAGGAGGAGGAGGAGGAGGAGGGAGGAGGAAGGAGGCGGAGGAGGCGGAGGCGGAGGCGGAGGAGGAGGAGGAGGAGGAGGAGGAGGAGGAGGAGGAGGAGGAGGAGGAGGAGGAGGAGGAGGAGGAGGAGGAGGAGGAGGAGGCGGAGGCGAGGCGGAGGCGGAGGCGGAGGCGGGAGGCGGAGGCGGAGGCGGAGGCGGAGGAGGAGGCGAGGGGAGGCGGCGGAGGAGGAGGAGGAGGAGGATGATGATGATGATGATGATGATGAGGAGGAGGAGGAGGAGGCGGAGGAGGAGGAGGAGGAGGAGGAGGAGGAGGCGGAGGAGGAGGAGGAGGAGGAGGAGGGGGAGGAGGAGGAGGCGGAGGCGGAGGCGGAGGCGGAGTAGGGAGGCGGAGGAAGAGGAGAGGAGGAGGAGGAGGAGGAGGCGAGAGGAGGAGGAGGAGGAGCCAGGAGGATGAGGAGGAGGAGGAGGAGCAGGCAGGAGGAGGAGGAGGAGGAGAGGAGGAGGAGGAGGCGGAGGGAGGAGGAGGAGGAGGAGGAGGAGGGGAGGGGAGGAGGAGGAGGAGGAGGAGGAGGAGGAAAGGGGGGGGGGAGGAGGGGGGAGGAGGGCGAGGAAGAGGGGGAGGAGGAGGGGGAGGAGGAGGGGGAGGAGGAGGAGGAGGAGGAGGAGGAGGAGGAGGAGGGAAGACGCGACGGCTCTGGCGCGCCAGCGCTGACGCAACGGACAAAAGGGCGGAGGAGGCGGAGGAGGAGGAGGAGGATGGGGCCGGCGGAGGCGTGTACGCCAGGAGGAGGAGGAGGAGGAGGAGGAGGAGAGAGGCCCTTCCCCGGTCGGCCCGGAGGGCCGCTCCCCCCTTGCCCCCTTTGCCCCCCCCCGTCCATCGGGGGCGGCCGAGAGTCGGGGGTGGATAGACCTCCTACCCTGACACGTCGATTAGCGCATTGGCCGTTTTCGGTTCGCGAGTGGGCGTCACGGCCGTGATTTTGCGGGTCCAGGTCCGTCGGTTTCGGTCCCAGGCCGTTTCCACTAAAGGGAGGTTTACCAAAGGGAGGCTTGTCCACCGCCGAGAGAGGGGGTTGATGACCAGGGGGGGTGGATATCATGGCGTTGGCCATGATATTTCCTCAGATCTCATGGCGCCTCTTCTTATGTCATTGCGTCCCTGCCCCCCCCCCTGAGCCGCGCACATGCCGCCGGCCATGACTTGCGCCCCCCCCCCCCCCCTCTTGGACGCCCCCCTCTTGGCCGCCCCCGAGTCTAGGAGAGGGGGGGTGGTGCCCAGCGCTTCCGCCCCGTCTGCGCGTCGCCGTCCTCCAGGCCTCCCAGATGGGGTCGGAGCAGATGGGGTCGGAGGATCGCGCCGCATCGTCGATGCATGGACGATGCGGCTCGATGTTGAGCCCGATACTCTCCACGCTGGCTTCGCCGATGCATCGCCGATGCATCGCCGATGCATCGGCGATGTATCGCCGATGTATCGGCGATGCGGCGCGATCCTCCGACCCATCTACCCCGACCCCATCTAGGAGGCCTCTACGTCTCCCGTCTTGCCCGCGGCAGCGAGTTGAAGGCAGGGCGGAGGAGAAACAGACGGCCGCGCCCGCGGCGCGGCGAATCGGGGCCCACGCAGCTGCCAGGTCTGGCCGCCGAGTTGCCCTCCTCGCGTCGGGGAAGAGTGTATATCGCGTGTTGTTCTTCTGGGCGTTGTCGTGTTTCTCCCTGGTCCCTGGGGTGTGTCGGGCAAGGGCAGGCCCACATCAGTCGACGACCAGTGTCAAGCAGGCCTGGGCGAGCTTCCTAGGAACCAGGACTACAAACTGGTGTACCGACCCCTTGCGCTACGACGCTGGCCCCGCACTGGCCAGGGATCGCAACACCACGGCACCAGAACCGAGAGGCGCCGCCCCAGTCGCGCAGGAACCAGTGCAGCGAGTTGCCAAGGATGTACACAAAACTGTTGTGATGCATAGGATGGTGAGGGGTTGGGTCGGATTGATGTGCGCCGAACCAATTATGTTACATGGAACGGCTAGAGCTAGGTCGGATGGGTGTGTGCCGAAAAGTATGTTTTTGAATATGATGGAGAGGGTTGGGCTTCATGGATGTGAGCAAACTTTTTGCATGGGATTGTTAGAGTTGTGTCGGCTGGATGTGCACCGAAAAGTATGTGCTGCATAGGATGGTAGGGGGGTGGGTCGCTTGGGTGTGTGCGGCGCTGGGGCGAAAACCACATTTGAAAAAACAGCCGGCTTCCGTCGTCGTATGTGTTACAAGTTTTTTCAATGACGAGCGCGCGCGGCGCCAAGGCGAGAGCCACGTGTTTCAAACGTACCGATCTCCATCTTTGAACTCGTTGCCAGTGCTTGACGATTGCGCGCGGCGCTAAGGCGAGAGTCACATTCTAAAAACGGCCCGGGATCCACCTTTGATGCTGTTGCAGTTGTCAAGTGTCAGGATCCCAGTTGGCGAAGCAGTCTCAGGCGAAACGCCTGGTCAGGCTTATGGACACGTCTGATCGTGCGACACGGAGGAGTTATTGATCGAGACGCCTACGGCGAGTCACCGCCGCCCCCTGCCTTTTTGGAAGCGCCTATGTGGCCGAACGTTGAGGCCAGACCTGCCAAGCTACCGCGCCATGTGTTCCCCGAATCGGTTTGGAAAGCCTTCGGGGAACACGTGGGCATCTTGAAGGTCATCTTGGCCGCCTGTATGCCATTTTGACCCTTTCGGGCCTTCTTGGAGGACGTCTTGGAGGGCTCTTGGGCCGTCTTGGAGGCCATCTTGAGCGTCTTGGAGACCTCCTGGGCCGTCTTGGGGGCCTCTTGGGGCCGTGTCTTGGGCCTCTTGGGCGATCTTTGGGGGCACTTGGGCCGTCTCGGGCCGTCGGAAGGCCGAAAAGAAGCAAATGCCATAATCCTTCAAAAACCCATGGAAATCAATGCTTTGGGCCTTTTCGGGTCCTCCTGGAGGCCTTCTTGGAGGCCTCTTGGGCCGTCTTGGGCCATCTTAGGGCCATGTTCGGCCGTCTTGGTGGGCTCCTGGTCCGTCTGACGCCGTCGGAAGCTGTTTGAGGGGCCTCTATGGGCCGACTCGGGGCCCTCTTGGAATGCTCCAGGGCCGTCTTGGAGGCCCATCTTGGGCGTCTTAAAGGCCTCCTGTGCCGTCTTGGGGGCCTCTTGGGGCCGTCTTGGGGCCCTCTTGGGCCGTTCTGGGGCCATCTTGAAGGCCTCTTGGGCGATCTTTGGGGGCTCTTGGGCAGTCTCGGGCCGTCGGAAGGCCGAAAAGAAGCAAATGTCAACATCCGTCAAAAACCTTAGAACATCAGTGTTGTTGGCATCTTCTGCCCTCCTGGAGGCCCTCTTGGGGGCCTCTTGGGCCGTCTTGGGCCAGCTTCGAGCCATCTTCGGCCATCTTGGTGGGTTCCTGGCAAGTCTGACGCCGTCGGGAGCCGTTTGGGGGGGCTTTCTGGGCCGACTTGGGGCCCTCTTGGGGCGCTTCGGGGCCGTATTGGAGGCCATCTTGGGCGTCTTGGAGGCCATCTTGGGCGTGTTGGAGGCCTCTTGGGCCGTCTTGGGGCCCTCTTGGGGCCGTCTTGGAGGCCTCTTGGGCCGTCATGGGGCCCTTTTGGGGGCCTCTTGTCGGAAAGCTGAAAATGCGCAAATGCCAAAATCCTTCAAGAACCTAAGGAAACACACTGATTTGGGTCCTTTCGGGCCTTCCAGGAGGACGTCTTGGAGGGCTTTTGGGCCGTCTTGGAGGCCTCTTGCGGGCCCGTTGGGCCGTCGTAGACCGTCTTGAGGCCATCTTGGGCCGTCTTGGAGGCATGTTGGGGCCATCTTAGCCGTCTTGGAGGCCATCTTGGGCCGTCTTGGAGACGTCTTGGAGACCATCCTGGGGCATCTTGGCCGTCTTGGATGACATCTTGGGCCAACTGGAGGAAACAGAAGCACGACGGACGCGTTTTGAGATCCTTTCCGGGTGGCCGACGGGACGGGCCGAAGCCCCAGGGGGAAAACCAAAAGCCATATCGTCCGGCACGCCAATCACCCCTTTGATAAATCAAACGGGGGCGGCGGATCGAAGACGCCTACGGCGAATCACCGCCGCCCACTGCCTTTTGGAAGCGCCTATCTGGCCGAACGTTGAGACCAGACCTGCCAAGCTATCGGACCATGTGTTCCCCGAATCGGTTTAGAACGCCTTCGGGGAACACGTGGGCATCTTGAAGGTCATCTTGGCCGTCTAGATGCCATTTTGACCCTTTCGGGCCTTCTTGGAGGACGTCTTGGAGGGCTCTTGGGCCGTCTTGGAGGCCATCTTGAGCGTCTTGGAGACCTCCTGGGCCGTCTTGGGGGCCTCTTGGGGCCGTGTCTTGGGCCTCTTGGGCGATCTTTGGGGGCACTAGGGCCGTCTCGGGCCGTCGGAAGGCAGAAACAACGCAAATGCCATAATCCTTCAAAACCCATGGGAAATCAATGCTTTGGGCCTTTTCGGGTCTTCCTGGAGGCCCTCTTGGAGGCCTCTTGGGCCGTCTTGGGCCATCTTAGGGCCATGTTCGGCCGTCTTGGTGGGCTCTTGGTCCGTCTGACGCCGTCGGAAGCCGTTTGGGGGGCCTCTAGGGCCGACTTGGGGCCCTCTTGGAATGCTCCAGGGCCGTCTTGGAGGCCATCTTGGGCGTCTTAAAGGCCTCCTGTGCCGTCTTGGGGGCCTCTTGGGGCCGTCTTGGGGCCCTCTTGGGCCGTTCTGGGGCCATCTTGGAGGCCTCTTGGGCGATCTGTCGGCGATCTTTGGGGGCTCTTGTGCCGTCTCGGGCCGTCGGAAGGCCGAAAAGGAGCAAATGTCAACATCCATCAAAAACCTTAGGAACATCAGTGTTGTTGGCCTCTTCTGCCCTCCTGGAGGCCCTCCTGGGGGCCTCTTGTACCGTCTCGGGCCAGCTTCGAGCCATCTTCGGCCATCTTGGTGGGTTCCTGGCAAGTCTGACGCCGTCGCGAGCCGTTTGGGCGGGGGCATTCTGGGCCGACTTGGGGCCCTCTTGGGGCGCTCCGGGGCCGTCTTGGAGGCCATCTTGGGCGTCTTGGAGGCCATCTTGGGCGTGTTGGAGGCCTCTTGGGCCGTCTTGGGGCCCTCTTGGGGCTCTTGGAGGCCTCTTGGGCCGTCTTGGAGGCCTCTGGGGCCTCGTGGGCGGTCTTGGACTCTCTTGGGCCGTCTTGGAGGCCGTCTTGGACCATCTTGGGCGGACTTGGAGACCATCTTGGCTGTCTTGAAGGCATCTTGGAGGCCATCCTAGGATTCTGACCGTCTTGGAGGCCAACTTGGGGCAACAATAGCTTTGACGGACGGATTTTCGGGAATCTCCCGGGACCCCGGCGGGACGGGCCGAAGCCCCAGGGGGAGTTCTTGTGGAAAAAGAACCAAAACCAAAAGCCATGTCATCCGGCACGCCAGACACCCCTTTGATAAATTCTTCACGCTTCGCGTATCCCCACCAGCCCATCTCAAAACAGCAACTCTTGCGAAGCATGCCGACACTCGTGTTTTTCAGGCGTGTTTCCGCCTGCCCCCGCATATCTCCCCTGTTCCTCCTTCCTCCCGCCTCCTTGTACATCCTCCTTGTGGTGGGAGCGGGAGAAGGACGAGGCGGAGGAGGAGGGAGAGAAAGCGCTCCTCGTGGTTTGAGTCGTTTGGGGTTTCTCGTCCTGGTGTGAGTCGTTCGGGCCCTTCTTCCTGGTGTGAGTCGTTCGGGCTCTTCGTGGTGTGAGTCGTTCGGGCTCTTCGTCCTGGTGTGAGTCGTTCGGGCTTCTCGTGGTGTGAGTTGTTCGGGCCCCTCGTCCTGGTGTGAGTCGTTCGGGCCCCTCCTCCTGGTGTGACTCGTTCGGGCTCCTCGTGGTGTGAGTCGTTCGGGGCCCTCGTCGTGGTGTGAGTCGTTCGGGCTCCTCGTGGTGTGAGTCGTTCGGGCGCCTCGTCCTGGTGTGAGTCGTTCGGGCCCCTCCTTCTGGTGTGAGTCGTTCGGGCTCTTCGTGGTGTGAGTCGTTCGGGCCCCTCGTCCTGGTGTGAGTCGTTCGGGCTCCTCGTGGCGTGAGGCGTTCGGGCACCTCGTCCTGGTGCAAGTCGTTCGGGCCCCTCGTAGTAGTAGTAGTAGTAGTAGTAGTAGTAGTAGTAGTAGTAGTAGTAGTAGTAGTAGTAGTAGTAGTAGTAGTAGTAGTAGTAGTAGTAGTAGTAGTAGTAGTAGTAGTAGTAGTAGTAGTAGTAGTAGTAGTAGTAGTGGTAGTAGTAGTTAAGTAGTAGTAGTAAGTAGTAGTAGTAGTAGTAGTAGTAGTAGTAGTAGTAGTAGTAGTAGTAGTAGTAGTAGTAGTAGGTAGTAGTAGAATAGCAGTGGTAGTTTAGTTAGTTTAGTAGTAGTAGTAGTAGTAGTAGTAGTAGATAGTAGTCGTAGTAGTTGTAGTAGTGTAGTAGTAGTAGTATAGTTAGTAGTAGTAGTAGTAGTAGTAGTAGTAGTAGTAGTAGTTAGTAGTAGTAGTAGTAGTAGTAGTAGTAGTAGTGTAGTAGTAGTAGTAGAGTCGTTAGTAGT